GGGGTCGGGGGCGGGGGCGGGAGCTTGGCGGCGGCGTGGGCCGCCTGCCCGAGTGGAGAGCTCTCTCCGCTGCTCGACCTTGACGGGCCGGAAGGCGAGGCTTATGCGGAGCAAGGCGATCGAGCAAATTGTTCAGTGGCGGCTGCTTTCTCCGCCATCTGTTGCTCCTTGAGTTGCAGACTAATTGTATTCAAATTTTGGAAATACCCGAACACACGAGTGCTTATTTGTACTCCGCATCAAGGAACTACTCCCAAAGGTGGCAAGGTCGTGGTTTCGAGACCGATTAGTATTGTTCTCTTCTTTAAATTCGAAAACGTTAATGCAGACTCAATCACTAGTTCAAGATTAACAGAATACTTCAACAATAGAGCTTAAATATGGGTTTAATTGAGAACTGTAGAAGCTCGCTGATTTGTCAAATATCTAGGATTGCCAATGAGCTCCAGTGGCAATTATTCTTATAATCCAACTTCTTATCCATATATTTGCTGAGTTATCTCTGTATGGCAAATAATTCTTTAGCTTTTTAGCTGAACACACCTTCATTTACAGCAATCAGAAAATATGGCATTGAGGAAAATTGGTAATGATTTATATAGATCTAAATCTATTATATTCCCTGATGTGATGTAGGAATCTAAGGGTACAGACCTGACGTTTGGCTTTTCTGGACCATTATGAAAATAATGAACGACATTGTCATGGCTTTAATATGAAACATTATGTACTTCAGATAAGATTTTTCAGCCATTTTCAAAACACCAAACAATTTGAAGACGTTCCATTTGTTTTCGACATTTTAGATTATAAGGAAAAAGTTGGTTTTGAATTAGTACAATCAAATATTATTCAAATATTTTGTATGTAAGTCTTGAAATACGCAGTTTTACTTTCTCGCCCTTCCTTGGAAAGAAAAGAAAGTATTGTAATCGTGACCCCTCAAAAGGCGAATTTTCGCCATAACTCTTATTGCCAGTGATTGTTCGGAAAAGTAGAAAAATCTTGTTACTAAATAGAGTAAATTATTTCTTCTAACATGTTATGTAGTCACAATCCATATTTTCTGTGCTCTTGATGAAAAAAAATCGATTGACGACACAACGTCTGTCCGTCCGTCCGTCCGTCCGTGCACCCGACTGTCCGTCCGTCCGTCCATCTGTAGTCAAAGCTAGACCCAAACCCGTTCGGCTGATTTCTCCAAAATTGATATTTCTCGATCAATTTAAAGAAATTCAATGCAAATCTGAGTTTGACATGGTTTGAAAAGAAAATCAACGCCATTTGATAATTGAAAGTACTTTACATGAAGCCCAAATTAACTTTTCAAAATTTTCTCAAAAATGGCTCCTAATTTTTTATTAAATGTACGCGGAGACAATTTAGAGAATCTAAGAAATGGTGCAAGATTCATATTCCTTGAATTCCCTGATTTTCGAAAATGGCACATGTTCAATTTTCTTCCTACAACTACAATATTAAAGAGAGCAATTATTTTCCACAAATCTGTTCTTTAAGGATATCTTGAAATAAGGTCATATAACATTTTTCGAAAATATGAGTATTTTTTGCGTAATATTGCGTAAAATAAGGCACGTTTTAATTTTTTAAAACACTTTTTTCTCAATAAGTACTCCAATTTTTTCTTTAAATTTTCTCTTCCCATATATCAAAATATTGTAAAAAAATTAGTGTTAAACTTATTTTCTGTGAACTCCGTATTTTCGTAAATATTTGAAACTACGATATTGAATATTGGAATTTTGGCGTTAAACAAAATCTGTTCTAAAAAAGAAGCTATGTAAAAAAGGTCATGTATAATTTTTTAAAATAAAAGACTAGTTTTCGCGTAATTTGTGCATGAAATTAATCAAATTTATTTCAACACATTTTCTCAAAAACCGCTACATATTTTTCTTCATAAAATTAACGTTACAGTTTTTCTTCACAAATACAACAAGGATCGCTTAATATAGTGGCTCAGGTCTCATTTTTTTTGGACTGTGAATTTTCAATAATTTAGAAATATTGCACGAAAGTATGTGATATTGTAACACCAGTAGTTATGTTAAATGATACTAATTTGGATTTATTGAAGCCGAGAGTGTATCGAAAGACATAGAGAGCTGATGTTGATGACAGAGAGAGCTGATCAAAATGATGTTGATAAAGCAATTGGAATGGATATCGTTTACAAATGGCAAGCATTTATCGACGTTTGAGTTTTAGAAAATGAAGGAAGAATTAACGAAAAATTAATTTATTTCGCAATAATGTATCGGCATTCATCGATATACTTTTGTGCTAAACTAATCTTGAAATGTTGTTTTCTAAATCCATTCATTTGACTTGTATCGTTTTGGTGTCAAACACAAGCAATATATTCTTCTTTTGAAATGATGCGCAAGGGTTTATGTGTTTTTTTCTAAATAGGTTTTACAATATTGTATTGTTTCTATGTTGTAAATGTATAAATGATTTGTATGAACATAATCTTAAATACTATTTGGTTTCAGTGAAATTAATTTTTTTATCAGGCAATTTCATTCATTTACGGTAAAAAATGTTTGTTTTTATAAATAATCACTATGATAAGCGGGAAAGTAAATTAAAAGAATTCAAACATTGTACGGAAACTAATTTAGCATACAACGATAGAAATTATCTAACTTGTCATTCAATAATGGAAACAAATTGCTCGAAAAAATATATTCAATGGAAAAGTGGGGTTATCTACCTTTGAATCCATTTTGCACAGATCCTCATTATGTACTAGCAAAACGTATCTCTGCACACGAAAATTCTTAGGAAAATTAAACCTACTTATCTACTTTGAAGATATTAGGAGAAAACAAACTGAATTATAAGTATTATCTGCGCACGTTTTCTTGAGCCCTCATTTTACTGGATGGCAGAGGAGTGGAATGTTAGTTACTTCGACTGCAGGACTATTATATCAAACCGGTAGCTCGTTTTTCGATGCAAAATGGTTTTTATTACACAAAAGCGAACATTTCTGGTTACCAGATTTTGTTGAAAAGGCTTCTTGAAATCATTTATACATAATTCAACTAAGTTTGTAAAGGAGTGGGGATAGATCTCATTACAGGGCTAAGGAAAATTTACGCGTATAATAGCCATTTTGCCACCAAACTCTGCATCGATAGACCACAATAAGCATACGATTGCGTTTCTTGGTAACTCTTTTTATTTCTTCCAAGAATATGACGCGAAAAAAATAAGCATGATTTTGTTGCGGGAATAATGAGAAAACATTCTCTAGCTCACCGAAAGAAAATTGCAATTTCATTGACAGTATTACTAATCAAAAACAATAGTGACTATGAATTATATACTTTAGAAAATGGTGATTAAATTACGCGACGAACTTTTTGAAGGGCAACATTGTGGTATGTTTAGAGAATAAGAAATAAATGATGCGGTGACGATGTTCCATTATTAAATGAACAGTTACAACAATAAAAAGTAAACAAGAGACATATTTTTTTTTATCCCCGGAGCCATACTCACCGTCCCAGAGCATGCAACATGTTCACCATGGAAAACCTTGCAGCACGGTGGCAGAGAACCGGCAAGGCGGCCGACTTGGCAGAAACCAGAGCGAACAATGTATCTATCCTTCATGAGACCGTGGCTAAGGACTGGTCCGGGAGCGACAGGCGAGTCCTGTCTCTCCGCGCAGGGGGGTGGGGTGGCGGAAACGTCGGCGGCGTTGGACGGTGACGTGTGGGGCGAGGGGGCAGGAGGCCTTGCCCGACGCTCGCCGTACGTGGCTGCAGGCCGAGACCTCCAAAGCGAGTGTCAAGAGCGTCGGGGCGAGGAGAGCGGGGCGGGGCGGAGCGGGGCGGCCGCCGGTCGCTCGCGCCGGAGGAAGTAGGAGGACACTCCCCGGACCCCGCCCCGGCGCCGCCCGGCGTCCAGGCCTCTTTCCGCCCCACCACGCCCTGCGCCGCTCGGGAATTTGGGTGAATGTTGCTCTGGGTGGCGGTGCCCATGGCCACGCCCGGCCTATATAACGCGACGCTGCCAACGGACAGGCATAGCACTTCCAGCTCCTTTGGACGCAGCCACCACTACCACACACACAGCAGCAATGGCTTTCAAGGTACGTTTCTGCGCGCTCTGGACTGGCATTGGGGGTAAAACAGGCGGATCTTTACTCGTTTTAAAATTCCAATCATTTCGGAAAGCGCCTGCTGGATATGGAATATTTTCCAACGCTATTGAATTTTCATTTTAAATGAAATTCGTTTACGTTTGAATCAACATATTTTTTTACAACGTTCATACACAAAGTTCACTCTAATAGAAACGTTTTATATATGGGAGAAGTTTGGCGATGAAAATACGATTATTTTCCACTAGAAATAACGACAATAATTTCCTTCCCATTTGATATTCACGATAGCGAATTTTTATATTGTCGGTCAAGCAATTTTTCGTTTTGAAATGGAATCGAGTTTCGTCCTGTGGATGTTGTATTTCCTCCTGCTTATTCGTGTGCGTCTCTGTGAACCGTTCATATCATATTCCGAAGAGGTGTAATTCTCATATTACCGGTAAAACGCAAACATATGGCTCGTACAGTTCGCAAATATGTAGATCGGAACTTAACATCCACAATATTCTGAACAGCAGCCACTCAGGTACCAATTCATCAGAACAAATTGAAGTTGCTGGTCGCAAAGTGAGTGAGATGAATTACAGGTCTGAATGCCACTTTTGCATACCAATGAGCTTTATATGTTAGTTAATTGATTGGCGATTTAATAGTTTCATATAATTACGTATTTAATATCAGCAACTCTTCTTTGTATATTGTACATTCTACTGCGTTGAATCTCTTTCAAATGAACTTCTCTGGTTTATTTGAAATTCCATTAGTATTATATATATGTGTGTATTTTTGCAAATATCCATTTAAATTCTTCAAAATTGAAGAGAGTAACTAAATATTATCCGATACTACGTTGTATTAAAATATTTTGTAGAATTCCTACTGGAATGAAAAACATGATCAAATTTCAAAATAATATTTGGACAGTTTTAAGGCTAAGAATATGCGTTTTCCTAATTCAGTCGCTGCTACAACAATCAGCGAGCTACACAATGCTCATTTCAGTAACAGATGGAACACTAAAGCATGGGTAACTAAAGTATGGGTCAATAAAGGATGGGTCACAAAAGGGCGGGTCACTAAAGGATGGATCACTAAAGGGTGGGTCACTAAAGGATTGGTCACTTGAGAATTGGTCACTAAAGGATGGGATGACGAAGTACTGTGAGCGGACATTGATAAACCGTAAGCGCTAACAAGTGTGTGTGTGTGTGTGTGTGTTGCCCCGCAGTTCTTCGCCCTCGCCGCCCTGCTGGCCGTCGCCCAGGCCGGAGGCCCCGCCGCCTACAGCACCCTCACCCCCGCTGTGGGCTACGGCTCCGTGGGCCTGACGCAGGAGAGCACCGTCAAGGGAACCCTGGGCGCCGGGAGCATCTCGCAGTACTCCAGTGGCGTGGACACCGCCCACTCGAGCTCTCGCGTTGCTAGCTCCCGCGTGACCAACGACGTGCT